GACAATGAACTCTGTCTGATGCTTCCAGATAAGGAAGGTGGGTTTGTGGCCTTATCCAGGCACTCCTATAATGAAAAATCAAGAGAGGCCATCAACAAGAACTTCAAGCCTGAAAAAGTGAGGCTATCTAAAGTCAAGAAAAAAGTTGTCTCTTTGTGTGAAGAAATTGGGTGCTAATCTTTGGCTAAACAGATAAGCAGAAGCAAAAAGGATTCCCTTACTGCTTTCTTCAGTGCTAAGACGCATAAAGCCGACGTACCTTTCCGCACCATCATTAGCAAGCCTGGAACTTGGCAATATCAGGTTAGCAGTTTTTTGCTCAAATCCCTAAAACTTCTTGAAGTTCATGACCCTTTCTTGACAAAAATTTCTGATGAAGTATTTGGGTTTATCCAAGGAAACCATGAAATAGGCAAACTTTTTTTCCGTAGATGTAAGTGACCTTTTTTACTCGGTTCCGCATCCGGAGCTACTTCGGGCAGTTAAGCAGTGTATAGAAGATAGTGGCGAAACCACATTTGTGTCTAAAACGGAGATGTCGCCCGCCAATTTCGTTACCCTCTTAGAAGCTTATCTCAACCACACTTTCGTTTCTTTTGAACATGGCATGTTTTTACAGAGGAAGAGCATTTGCATTGGGTCACGGGTAGCACCGATTTTATGTGACGTCTTTTTATCATCCTTTGACCACACACTACAAAGTGTTTTTACTTCATCTCATCCATATGTCCTTAAAGTATTTAGATATGTAGATGATTTTTTAGTTGTTATTGACAATAGATGCCCTTTTGCTTTTCCTGTGATGGCTGAGCAGGTTTTAGATGTTTTTAGAGCAAACTGTAAGGGGCTCACGTTCACTAATGAACTTCCGGAAGATAGCTCCTTGCAGTTTTTGGACCATAACCTGACAATTTCGGCTGGTCACGTATGCTGTGCGTACCTGCCTCAGAGTAAGAAGGAGTTGTTACTTTACGATTCAGCGCATTCAAAGACTGAAACGCGGAATCGCTATACTTTGCTTAGAGTTGGCACTACGCAGATCGTGTGAGCATGTTATGCAAGCTAGCTTTATGCGTCAACTTCTAAGACTTTCCAAGGCCGGCTACCCTCAGTTCGTAATTAGTTCCGTAGTGGAATACTTGCTGCAGAAGGTGAAAGGCAGAGTGTCTAATGCAAATGCGTGCCCGAAGGAGAGAGAGTGGGTTAAGCCTGAGGTGGTCCCGTATATACACCGTGTGAGCCATAACCTCAAGAAGGTGGCTTCCCGTTATGGTGTTCCGGTTGTTTTTTCAGCTCCCAACAAACTTGCTCAATTGTGCCCACGTATCACATGCGATGAGCGAAGGGGCTACCAGAAGCAGCACACAATACTTTTTAGGGGCTGCGCACAAGGCGTGGTATATGGGACTCCCCTTGGGAGTGGCAAGTTTTATATCGGTCAAACGGGGCGTTGCATTAATGACAGACTGAGGGAGCATGCCAATAGTTTAGGCAAAAGTGAGCATGCACATCTTCCAGCGCACTGTAAAGCCTGCGGATGTGTGACATTGTTTGAAAAAACGGTGATTCTTGGTAGGAGCAAAAAACAAACAGCTAGAGAGCTCTTGGAAGCCTATTTTATCAAAAAGAAAGGGCCCGGTTGTATCAGTGATACATCTATTGTGTTGTACGCAACAGAAATGCGGTTTTTGAATAACTTAGTGCCTTGCTCATGACTCTGTGCGATGTTTGTTGGCTGTGCACGCATGCGCGGTTTTGTCTTCTTTCCAGTGCGTTTCCTAGACGGTCATTAAACAGTTGGTAGTTGGCGCTGTTCTGTCCTCTCTCCTGCTCTTCCTGCTTCACGCTATGTTTTTTGCGCCTCAGTCTTCAGCACCTTTTTATGTATGAGCACACGTTCCTGCCATTGGTATGAAAAAATGTGTTTATTATTTACTGTTAGATACAATATTTCTATTTCCATAAATTGATGATGCATATTCCGAGTTCAAGACGCATGTTCATTTTCACCATTTAAAAAAATTTCGTCGATATTTGCTAGCGCCGAAGCTCGAGAAGAATTCCTAGCAGTGTAAAATACCCCAGTTCGGTTGAATTTTTCTCGGTATTGGGTCAATATCGAGGTCACGCAGAGTTCCTGCAATCAATTTTATATTCGGAAGGATGAAGCAAGTCTTTATTGAAAATAAGTTCATGCAACTTTATTTCATTCTCGGTGAACGGGGGCCGCGAATGTCAAGAACGAAATCCACCCGAAGCAGATACGAAGCTTCTGCTTTCCATAAATCCCATTGTGGTTGGAGTCTGGTGTCTGCCCTGTTATTACATAGCCTGAAATCTAGGAACCCAGCGTTCATAAAACACATAGACAAGGCAAGTAAGACAAACACATAGGCTGAGGCTTACGGCCGTCGTGTTTTTTGGAAGCTGGGTTCTTCGATTCCAAGCCATGATGGTCGAAGTTCCGTGCAATCAGCCTCGCGTGCCTCACGTAGACATTTCAAAAAATTAATTTGAGCGTAAACACACAACGCACTCACGCACACATATACACCTAGGCATCAAACACGCACAACACTGTGTTTGTGTGTGTATGCGTGAATGTGACGTGTGTTTGCACTTAAATTAATTTTTTGCAATGAGCTACCAACTAGCTCAACAAGTTCTTTTACCTGCGCAGACACTCACTCCAGATTTCACTCTAGGCTTTGTGTTATAAAATTTTACGCTGAAATTGTGGCCTGCTCAATTGGCATCAGCAGTGCATTTGCTGATCATTGAGGACACTGTGGTGTGAAAACACTCGCCGACTTTGGTCGTTCTAGTGAATGCGGGGACGACCGGTGTAATTTTGCGACCAGTGAATAGGCTTGAGTGCACAAACGCGAACAGCTGAATCAATTCTCAAAGAAACGCTGTCACACCGATAATGCTGGAATGTTCGATGCCGCATGTATACATGCGTACACATCTTGCTACAGGTCAGTTTTACCAACGACCAACGCTCTCTTCAATGCTATCATTGCATAGTGTGTATCGCTGTAATCTGACCTTCTGTTTTTCGGCCACAAAGTTGGCAAAATAAAGAGTTTCACCTTAGAAAGCTGAAGCCCAACATCAAGGTGTAACGAAGTGTGCTGTTGCAATGAGCCAATGTTTATTCCCTACGAAATCTATACTTACCAGAACTATCAAGTAACAAAGGCTTGGTGTGTTGAATGTGAAATTTTAGGCTCTATAATAGGGCTTGCCATCTTGACCAAATAGGCAAAACAGTGCCTCAGTCAAGTCTGTGAATGACACAGAGTAAAGCAGCTGGGGGATGATGGAAGCCTCTGATGAAAAATTTGTAAACAGGGGGTGCGGGCCAGAGCCAACAAGTGTCAAAAGATCCCTCTAGTAAAAAAATTGGGAACATCGGCTAGTTGGTAATAAAAGACACTGACACTGAAATTTTGGTTGTGACATTTTGCTGCAATAAGTGACCTTGTGCCTGGCAATGCCAAAATTTAATCGTAAATGCTCTAACATAATGTATAAGTAATGCTATCAATGTTAATTGGGACAAAGTTTAGAATCACTTCAAAAAGCCCACCTAAATTGTAAGAAACTAGTGCCCTAGCCAAAGAGTGCCCAAAAGCTCATGCCCTCAAGATTCGCTGACAATGAAGGGGCAGATTTCAAAACGAGAAAGTGGTGAAGAATGAAACGATGTGGGTGCTTCGGGTGTGTCCCCCTCGGGGAAAGAAAAGAAAGAATCATTCCTGGCGTAAGCAGCCAAAACCACCTTGAAAGCAGCCCGTCGTGCGAGAGGTGCAAGGAACCACGGCCCGCGTTGAATGCCAGTCATGGCTTATTATGCACCCTGCGAATGTTCTGCAATATCAACGGTACTCGTTTTTTTTATTGTGATAGCAATTATATGGACACTATCGGTCGGTTTCAGCAGCCGGTGTTAGTATCGGCCGCCATTCACCAAATATATATATATGTATCTATATATATGAAAACAAAAAAATAAAAATCCAGAAAAAGACTCAGGAATGCGGAATCTTTTGTTCATGAGTGCACAGTGTTAGCCACTCAGCTATGTAGGAGAACCTCCTTCAATGTTTAAACGGCAAGCTATTCATATCTTTCACATAGTGCTAGTGATGCCGATCTCGGGGGAAAAAAGACTGATTCAAGTATTACCAGCGAGATGGCGCAATTAGCAGGCTCGGCGCCCAGGTCGTCGCGATGCGCCGATGCGGGCTCATCTTCCATGCATTCTTTGTGCCACGGAGAGGGAAGGGGCTTATCCGCGCACTTATCTAGTGATAGGGGAGAACTGCGCGCCTTCAGCTTTCACAGGAACGATTGAGTTTAGTTGCCGGGCGAACTAAAGTTACTTCGCTCAGTGCACAGGCCCCGTTTGCAAAAATAGAAGTAACAAGTGCGACACTCGTTAGTTTGCACTCATCTGTACCTGCGATTATATATTGTGCATCGTTTTTGTTTAAACAACACATTAAGTGTCGAGCTGTAAACAATGTTAGTTTGCTCTCGTCTTGTGAGTGTTGTTTTCGTGCGTCATTTGTGTGTAAGCAGTGTGTTGCACATTTCAATCTGCTTGCCGTTCTCAGCGTTACATTCCAAGTTGTTGCTACCGCATTCATTGCTTCACTGCAGCGAAACTGTGACTTTTTATGAGCGTCAAGCTAGTGGCGATATTGCGAAGTGCTGAAAACTCAGATGACTAGCCATGCTTAGTTTAAAACCAAATTAAAAAATATTGAAGACAGCATTCGTTAGTCATGATAGGACACAATCGCTCACACATGCAGGGCAATAAAACAACACAAGCATCTCGGGTTTCCAAATTCGGTGTCAGGGGTCCTTTAGAAAGAATTTCTTCTTGCCTTTTTTCACTAGTAATCAGGACCAATTCAAGAATAAATGTTGTTCGTTTTCACTTCTAGTTAGGAATGCTCTAAAAAGTGAACAAGCTTTCCACCTACCTGCAGCGCCTCCTAGTGCCTTGCCCAGAGTAGAGTTGATGATGTCCACACGGCCAGAAATACCAAAGTGTTCCTCGGTACCCCTGCAATACATGACATATGCCAGGAATCTATTTATCCATGAGGCAAAAAAACAGATGTCTTGCTTTAATGAAGTGGCTGTCTAGAAGCCACAAACATCAATGACGACTGCCTGGCATGCACTGCAGAAGAGAGAAACATGTTTATTTATTTCCAATACCTCAAAGGCTGCCCCAATGAAAGAATTCTACATTAAGGGAGAACGAGGCACACATCTGAGCCAGTACAGTCAGAGGTAAAGGTAAAGCGATTGGGAGACCACTCACTAGCTGTGATATTGCCTAGCAGGAGTCATAGTGTCGTTTACATGCAAAGAAGGCCTACTGAGATCCGAGAAAAGTCTGTTCGCACTAAGGCCTTCAAATTTAGATGTTAAATTCGATTATCTCACATTTTATGTGCATAAACATTAACTTTATTTGCTTATGATGTTTGTAACTTAGGAGTAAAGCTATAGGGAGACACTATTCTCATAGACCAGTCATTCTGGCAAGCTTGTAACAGTACGAAACAATACATATAGGCTTGTGCAAATAGTAAATTTCAGGTTCGAAGCGAATAGTAATTTGGATAGAATAATTTCAAATCAAACTCGAATAGTATATATTGCATATTACAAAGATAAACTAGCATATTGGTCATGATACCATGCACAATATATTTTTCTTTTATTTGAAACAAGTCATAGGCAAACATCACTCTTTTTGGTTCGAAGGAAGCATTCTAAAACGGTAGTGTATGCGAACACAGATACAAGAAGGGCACCACAAAAGCATTTCTGGTGTTCTGACATCCTTCTTGTGTCCATGTTTGCACACCCCGTCTCTTTAGAATGAATACACTACCAACTCTTGGTTAATCTGAGTAGAAGCAACTTTGAAGAATAGCAGGATTCGACCTTTGCTAGAATGCAAGCAATAAGTTGTAAAATATGTTGTACTTTAAAACTTACTATACTTAGACCACACTTGCCAATATAGCAATCTTTTATACTTGAAAAAGAAAAAAAAAACTACATATTCATTACCCTTCAAGTAGAGCTTCGCAACAGTGCAGATTGTTGCTGTAGAGGTGTATTCATAGTATAATATTCCACTGTAAGGAAACCACCTTTATAGGAGGATTACATTTGGACTAATATAGACTTCATGCAAAATTGCTGCCATCTGTTGAAGGCTTAGTGAAGCTACTGATTCGGCGCCATTGAAGGCTTGTATTCAAATCGTATTGCTGTCGCTTGTGTCTGCTTTCAAAGTGTTCAATCAGGGCACAAACTTCAGATTGGCCTGTACACGTTACCAACATTTTATAGTTATACATTCACAATGATTACGTATTAAGAACTGTGTCAAAACAAGATGAAAGTACAAAGTTCTCACTGAGTCACATTTAGGCCTGTGATGATTGAGAATGAAGCCATATAAATTGGGTTATAAATCTTGTCTTTCTTTTTTATACCTATGTTAAACGGGCGTGCAAAAAAGTCTTTTACATTAGCAATCTTCTACGAAGTTGAAAGACTTTCATCAAAGGGGCGTTGTGGCATGGACACACGGCCCCAAGGATCTCTCTCTAGTGTTCTCTTTCAATGATGTGGCGCTAGCAATTAAAAGAGAAGCAATGAAAATAAAGCAATATATCTTGATACTGCCACACTCCGTTCATCAAGTTTTGTTACACTGTAAGTAATCTTCAGTACAAACCGCGTCTGAGAGTCTTCAGGGCTGTAGTAGATCATTTCGTTAAGAATATGCACACAACAGAAACCTTACAGATTATTCTCGAACCTACGTGGCCACTAGCGATAGCGCTGGCATATTCCACAGCGCATGTATAGATGCTAACGCACGCCAGAATTTCTCAGTTGATCGGCAGCCAGTGCTTGGCTCGCCACTATCGGTGCCAGCGTGTATCACTGTAATCTTCCGGTAACCTTCGGATTATTGATCATAAAGTTCGGACAAATAATGTTTCATCTCGGATCTGCAGTCTGCTCCCTTTGTCGACGCCACGAAGCGACCTGTTGACTTCGTGGCATATGGTGAATGTGCTGCTTCGCTCATGTACCGGACGCCCCCGTCAAGCTGTGAACCCAGCTCCAATCATGAAAGAGACGTCGACACCTACCTTGAGCACTGAGCTAGCCGCAGGCGACGAGCCCTGCATCTAGAGAATAGCGCACTACCAGATCTGACTCGCAAGCCCAAGGCCACGACCACTACAGCAACAACTATGACAGGCCCTGTGCCAATGCCCGCCATGGTTGTAATGCAGCAGTCAAGGAAGCCACCGACTTTCCATGGATCATCGTTTGAAAGCCTAAAGATTTGGCCTTGACACCTACGACCGAGTGGCCACCCTCAACCACTGGGACGCAGAAGAGAAGCTGCGTCGCGTCTACCTGGAAGTCGCAAAAAAGACCTGGTTCGAGAATCGGAAGTTTGCCATTTAAACCTGGGATCCCTTTCGCGGCACATTACCGAACACGTTCAGGAGCATCGCCTGCAAGGAAAAGGCTGCAGCGTTGCTGGTGACGAGGAACAGCTGACCTTGCTCCTGCATTATAAGGATTGATTTTCATCGCCGTGATACATTCAGCAGACTCCAGTCACGAAATATCGCATCATAACAGAGGAAAATGCCAGACCATTTTATCAGAATCCGTACAAGGTTTAATCACAAGAATGTGAAACTGTAAAGAGACAAGTCCACAAAGAGCTATTTGATGACATCATCCAGCGGTCAAAAAGAGTCCAGGGGCATGCCTCGTAGTGTTAGTGACGAAGAAGGATGGAACCCTACGTTTCTGTCACCGCTTGAACAAAATCACAAAGAAGGTTCTGTATCCTCTCTCACATATAGGCCATGCGCTGGATCAGCTCCACAACACGAAGTACTTTTCATTGATGGACCTTAAGGCTGGCTACTGGCAAATTGAAGTCAATGAGAGAGTCATCGTGGTTAACAGCGCGAAACACCCGGACAGGAGCGATAGAAGGACACGGTACAGCGCTGACTTTCAACTGAAATTTTTATTGAAAACACGAGAATATATATATAGACAGAACAGAAGACCTCGTGACCAAACCAGCCCCCTCAATCGATAAAGTTATACACGGCGACAAGGCTTTGTCATGTGCACGCAATCTTGCCACAAAAATAACACATACTTCAAACTATAAGATTCCAATGTCGCCAAGAAAACCGGGCATGAGCAGACGAATGAACTTTAGCCACTATCTAACAAAGATAATTCATTACCAAGTAAGGCGATAGACGGCTGGCTAACGCATTGAGACCCTTTCTTATTTATAAAAAATGCCTCCATAATTTCTCTTGAAAGCTTGTCTGGATGCTTGAAGAGTACTTTTGTTTTTTCAAAAAGTGGGTGGCATCCACATTCACGGCAATGCAAAGACAAATGTGAATGCGCAAATCCTTTCAAGGAACTGTGGTGTTCCCTTAGCCGTATATTGACACAACGCCCGGTCTGACCAATGTACTCTCGCCCGCATGAAAATGGGGTTGAGTACACGACATTCTGCATGCACGGGAGAAACTTCATAGTATGTTTGATACTACACTGCTGATAAATTCCAGTCTTCCTGCCTTCTATGCGAGTGTTTACTGCCTGGCAAAGTCCCTTAAGCTTCGTTCTGCTTGAAAACCCAACGTTTAATCTGAACTTAGATGCTACTTTCTTTAATCTGTGCGAAAAAGAATGAACATATGGAATGAAGACAGAACGGCTAAAATCTTTTTCTTTAACTCGGGAGGACTGCCCCTTGACCTCACGCAGCAGCTTATCGCAAGTCGTAGAAATGTCACTCTATCATTTCTACGACTTGCGATAAGCTGCTGCGTGAGGTCAAGGGGCAGTCCTCCCGAGTTAAAGAAAAAGATTTTAGCCGTTCTGTCTTCATTCCATATGTTCATTCTTTTTCGCACAGATTAAAGAAAGTAGCATCTAAGTTCAGATTAAACGTTGGGTATTCAAGCAGAACGAAGCTTAAGGGACTTTGCCAGGCAGTAAACACTCGCATAGAAGGCAGGAAGACTGGAATTTATCAGCAGTGTAGTATCAAACATACTATGAAGTTTCTCCCGTGCATGCAGAATGTCGTGTACTCAACCCCATTTTCATGCGGGCGAGAGTACATTGGTCAGACCGGGCGTTGTGTCAATATACGGCTAAGGGAACACCACAGTTCCTTGAAAGGATTTGCGCATTCACATTTGTCTTTGCATTGCCGTGAATGTGGATGCCACCCACTTTTTGAAAAAACAAAAGTACTCTTCAAGCATCCAGACAAGCTTTCAAGAGAAATTATGGAGGCATTTTTTATAAATAAGAAAGGGTCTCAATGCGTTAGCCAGCCGTCTATCGCCTTACTTGGTAATGAATTATCTTTGTTAGATAGTGGCTAAAGTTCATTCGTCTGCTCATGCCCGGTTTTCTTGGCGACATTGGAATCTTATAGTTTGAAGTATGTGTTATTTTTGTGGCAAGATTGCGTGCACATGACAAAGCCTTGTCGCCGTGTATAACTTTATCGATTGAGGGGGCTGGTTTGGTCACGAGGTCTTCTGTTCTGTCTATATATATATTCTCGTGTTTTCAATAAAAATTTCAGTTGAAAGTCAGCGCTGTACCGTGTCCTTCTATCGCTCCTGTCCGGGTGTTTCGCGCTGTTAACCACGATGAATGCTCACCAACTAGCCCAGTTTTCCATCTTGCTCAATGAGAGAGACCGAGAGCAGACTGAGTTTATAACACCAGACGGCCTCTTCGAGTTCAAGGTCATGCCCTTCGATCTTCGCTCAGCGCCTGAAAATTTTCAGCATGTTATGGATAGAGTACTAGCAGAATTGAAGGGGAAGACTTGCCTAGTGTACTCGGACGACGGCGTTGTGTTTTCCTCAAGCTTTGACGAGCATTTCCAGCACTTTCAAGCAGTAATACAAGCTATCAAGACCTGAAGCCACAAAAGCACAGATTCGT